GCATGGTGGAACTGTTCTGTCACTAACAGCTAGAGAGTTAAACAGTTGTACATGCAATGAATTTATGACAGTTTTGCATATAACCATGTTTGTTTTCGTTACCAGTTCACGCTTGTGAAGCATGATGTTCAGTTGCACTGAATTATAAATTCAGACTCCTAAGCACAGCTACAATAGATATTCTGTATGAAGCAGGTAGCACTCTTGCTGACTGTGGTTAGATCCCATGAGTTATTCCGCTCATAAAAGAGTCAGTCTCATTGCCAAGTATGCGCTTATCATTCTACCAATACATAACATGGAAATGCTCTGCCAGTTTGCAAGAACTATATAAAACATTTGTGTTGGTGTTCTTCACATTACTGATTAATGTTTAAGACATCTTGTAAAGAAGAAATAGAAAATGGAAAAGAGAAAATTAGTGTAATAAAATGTATAATTATTAGAATTAGCATTATAGGAAGGAGGAGTCAGATTCTTAACTGCTCTTACACTAGCATCTGACAGATGATATGCCAAATACTGGGATTAATGTGTTCGGTTTTATTTTCGTGACTCAAAATTGAATACAGACTAGTTAATACTATACTGATATGTTGGGTTTTTGGACTTTATCCATCGTCCTAGTTTTTAAGATAACAAATATAAACACGACGTTTCGGAAACTGGATCTCTTTCCGTCCTCGGGTGAACCAGTGGACCAGTGATTGAGGCTAGCTCTTTCTAAGGGACCCAACTGAATAGGTGTTTTCCTTCACCTCAGGACAGAAACAGATCCAGTTTCCGAAACGTCGTGTTTTTATTTGTTATCTTATAAACCAGGACGATGGATAAAGTCCAAAAACCCAACATATCAGTGTGTTATACACCATCGTCAGAATCCTATAGTAACTACTTATAAATAATATATAAAACTCTAATTTGAATAATTTGTTCTCTTCATCTTTCATTAAATTTAATAGTAAAGTTTCATAACATTTGTCTGAAACTTCTCCAAACCAAATAAAAATTTGTGTTTGTTTAGGTTTGTTGCTACTACTCTGTTTCTTAACTTTCCTAGGTTCTCATTTTTAACATTGGGGGGCATCACAAGGTCTAGGATTGGCATTTGTGGCAGTTGCCTAGTGTAAGGACAGCATTTTGGGCACAGCAATGTTGGCTTACAGCTGCAGAGTAGTGAAATGGTTTCATAATATGTGAGGAACAGTGAACTTTGTGATTGAGGACAAGTAGAGTAACGCAGAAAAGAGAGCGAGATATTCATTGACAAATTCCATGTTGAACATTTTATATTAGTTTTATAATTTGGAATCAGTAATCATTTAGTATGAATTACTTAAGTACAGTATTTAAGTGAAAATAATAATATTTAATTGTAACTTAATGTAGACATAAAGAAGATTGAGTTTAATATCAATATGTATCAACATTGTCCAGTTTGCAGTGTTCTGAAATATTTCAGTGTTCTGGTACCAGTCAGAAGGACATTGAATTTTGGGTATTGTTGTATGTACAGTATATGTCTGAAAATGTGGGATAAACGAAATAATGATATACATGTATGATGTATCAAGAGTGTTATTAATTATATCCTGATAGGGTGTAACTCTGGGGAAAAGCTGGCCAATGACACCATCAAACCAGTAAAACATGCACGCTCATTGTTTTCAGGCATCTTACACTGGGCTACTGCCTTCAAACCACTGATGGGCTACATAATAAAAATACAGGATTTTCTGCTGTGGGGGAAGGATGACACAGAGACAGCCAGGTGCCCCAAATAGATATATTAAGACATCTCATAAAGGTGAGGAAAGGCCAAGTGAACTTGGATATTTAGAGGGAAGAAGTGATACACTGCCTGGTTTAACGATCGTACATAATACATCATCATCTGCATCCGAAGGTGGTGACAGTGTTTCCAGTGAAGAGCATTTAGAGGTAACGATAGGCAGTATCGCAGTATCTGATCCTGGATCATAGCCACTAAAACTGATGGACTCACCTTGTGTTTCTGTTGTAAAACAGGCATTATCTGAACCTTACCCAGCGTATGAGTATGCCAAAGAGGCGGTTCATTGCAGATTACTGTAGTGAATGCAAAATGTAGGCTGAAAAATGGGGAAGAGGTAAACTGCGTATGGTTAATGTACTCAGCAATTGAAAATGCTGTATTTTACTTTGCTGCAAACTATGTAGTTCACTCGCTGTTGCGCTAACAAAATTTGGTTTTATGATTGGAGAAATACTACACACTGAAAGACCACGAGACATCAAAGCACTGAAGTCCATAAAATGAACAGAACTGTCTGACGGACTAAGCAGCAATACAACCACTGGCAAAAGAAATCCACGTTCACTGAACACCAAAAACCGCCATTAGCATGCAGTGCTTGGATGCCTAGTAGCAATTATCCAATTTGTTGTCCAATAGACTTGAACATTTAGGGGGTCAAGTGATGTACTCCACAAAGAGAACAATGGACATGAGTAAAGTTACTGTAACTCTTTGCAAAATTTAATTCAATTATGGAAAAACATTGTAGAAGAATTTGTGACAAAGATGCTCTTGCTCTTTCATTAATTACTCTACAAGAATTTTGGAGATAGAAAGTAACAACAGGTATAGGAAATAACAAGGAACTGGCCTATATGGCATGCTTAATAAATCCTGTCATCCAACCCAGTTTGGACTATACTGGTAAAAGCCAACAATGATTTAACCAACCAATGAAAACTCATAATTGTCCAAAACATGGTGGAGACCAGGAGGAATCTGCACCATCACTGAAAGAAGAGCAATTGTACAATGTCCTGTATGGAGTGTACACAAAGCTACTACATGACTTGATGACAGTCCTCAGAGAGAGCGCTGCCAAAGGAGAGAAGAAAGACCATTTCTGAATCTACATCAGACTAGGAATTCCAGGAGCAGAGAAGGCAAAGACACAAACCTTCAGATGATGCCAACAAAAGAACCAAGAAACCAGGAACTTCCACCAAAGGACTCTCAGTCATGGTCGAAAGATAAAGTTCTCACGCAGAACTTCTTTATCCCCCAAGACCAACTGAAATGGAGGCTGACCATAGCGACAACACAGACCTCCACCAGGAGTCAGCAACAGCAGGTGCCATCCCCTCAGGCAGGTAGGCCGCCTTCTATTATACTAACCTCTTAAGTAAACCTAATACAATTGCAAAGGCAACTGAAGGGCTTACTAACAGACAACTTAAAGCTCCGTAGCAACAGAGACGGGACCAGAGTTGTCACGAAAGAAATGCCAGATTTTTCAACCATCCTCTCTCACTTCAAGAGCCAATAACCCCTATACTTCACATTCTATACTGAATCCCAGAAGCATATAAAGACTGTGATATGGCACCTTCCATTCACCACTCCTGCAGAGGACATCTAAGATGGGTTAATGGACCTTGGCCTTGACGATACTAGCATCAAACAAATGTCAGCCACCCATCAATCACCTGCAGAAGTGACATTCATAGTAAACCTTCCCCTCTTCCTCGTAATCTTACATAGGATGTCCAAGTCCCAGGAGATATTCGAATTGATGATCCTGTGTCATGTTGCAATCAGGAGAGAGGCAAACAAAGCCCAGACAGAGCTCATACAGTGTCACATCTGGGCTAACTGTAAGCAACCTTCCCGTTCTATACAGGGTGTCCCAGGAGGAATGTGCCAAACTTCGGGAGGGTGTTCCTTATGTTAAAGTATGCCGATATAACCCAAAACACCTATGTCCAAAGTTGAACGGTTACGGAGATAATGGCCCAAGAAAAGTGTGGTCTTCTGGCAGGTCCAAGCACTGTACCTCGCTGTACCTCTCAGCTGAGAGCCCTTATCTATGTTTGTCCTTGAGTGCGATGATACTCCCTAGCCGTGCTTATGTAGTTGGCTCATACCAGAACGCGCAGTCAGCACGTTACGTCATCGCTCGCCAGTCATGTGTTATGTATACTGCTTGGAAACCTAAGGACAATTATGACATGGCGAGCGAGTATTTTGTACTTCAATTTTATGGCTTTCCGTCACTCACAAGTTGGTTTGATGTTACGTACATTATTAACATTACAGAATCCACATATTCCTGCCAGTTTTAATATGTATTTTGTAATCAACAAGTGTGTAACCCCGGTCAAAGTTTGACACTTCTCGGGCCATTATCTCCGTAACCGTTCAACTTTGGACATAGGTGTTTTGGGTTATATCGGCATACTTTAACATAAGGAACACCCTCCCGAAGTTTGGCACATTCCTCCTGGGACACCCTGTATGGTGTGGGTGTGGCCACAAACACTGAAGAGTTCCTGGAAAGGGGTAATGCAGCATTGATATCGACATGCTGCAACTGCAAGTTGGTGGGCGGAAACGAACCTCAACCCTCCAACTACTGAGGCTGCAATTATGCTGAGGACGAGATTGTAAAGTTAAAGTTGCAGAGAGAGCTCAAGACTACAACAGGAAGTGCTGTCTCTTCCAACCACACCCCCCCTGGACTGTTTTGCAAAGGCCTGCCCTACCACAGTGGGAGAAAGGGTAATGAGGCACAACCATCAACATGTCAGTCAGTTTATACCCCCAATGTAAACAGTTCATCTCTGAACGAGGCACCATGCTGCAAGCCGAAAGGTCGTGGGTTCAAGTCTGATGAGGTCGCTGGATTTTTTTTTCAATCTACCTCATCCTTCCAGCTGCACTATGGCATTCAGGTCAACTCTGCCTCTAACAGAAATGAGTGCCAGGAATTGTAAATGATGTACAAACATCAAATTATTAAAAACAATTCTCAGCTTCATACTTATTATGGCATAAAATGAATGGGATTGAGGAAAAAGGGCAGACATCCAATTATTTACGGAACAGTTAACTTCTGAACCTATGTAAGTGTACTGATATGGACAATTTATGAATTAAAAGAAATAAATATAAAAGTATTTATAATGCCTATTAGGTTCTGTATCTTAATATTTAAATTAGCTAATTTAAGTTCCAATAATGCACAATATTTTATTACCATATGTGATATAGGCCTGATGGGTAGGTACACTGTTGTATAAATTTGGCTGAACCCCTGTTAAATCTATGAATTAGCTGTTGTCTTTTATACAGCAGTTATATACACACAACAAATTCATACACATGGTAGACTTTATAAACATAAAAAATGGTTCACTTCAGAATACATAACTAGACACATTCTCATTAAAATTATTATTAACACAGCATTTTGACTAATCAATAACGTCTGCAAAGCTTGGCATGTACATACAGTATTTTAAAAGAGCATGATCAGTGTTATTGTGTAAGCAATTCAGCAAAACATTTGTTCATTACTGTGATATAAAATCTACTGCATTACAATGCAACTACACGAAAATAAATGAGAAGTTTTGAACTGAGATCAGATTTAAGATATTTAGTGGAATCATTCATGATGTCAATACTGACAGGTGTGAGTGTCGTTTTAATATTTTCTGATGAGTGCAATGTAATGCTGTTATTGTTGTTATGGATTACAGCTCCATGAAAATGCTTATAACCTTTGGTGTCCCTCAGTCTCAACAAACAACAAAATTACTTTCATATGCACAAAAGCAAAAACAAACAAAATTATTACAATATGAAGTAGGTTCCACTATAAGAAAACCTGGTTGTTATCTATGTACACTTCTGGCAAGAATGAAGGCAAGATGTTCATCAACTGAGTTTAAAAAGATACAGAAAATGAGGAGTATAAGGAACATCACAATTTACATGACAAAATTTCCAATATTTTAAGTCAAAATTAGGTAATTTTTACTTCAACTCATTTGACACTAAGAGGACTCTCATGAACATGGTAGCGAACTTTCGTGTTTGAGAAAAGCAGGAAATTCTTGACAACTGAGCCACTTACAGCATTTAAATGACTATGCTGCATGAAATTCATGATCAATGAAAGTCACATGTTCATTCACCTGCCCCTGTAGTTGCTAAGAGCATTTCCAGCCGTGGCTTTTTCATAGCATAATGTGCTGAAGCTTAATACCAAAATCTGTTTTACATAAGAGTGCAGCTAAACTCTGCCTATGATTTACCTGAATAAGACATTATACCCTTCTTTAATCAATAAATACACTTTGATTTTGGATGCCACAGAAGTTAATGGAATAATAACTAGTATGTTGTAAATGAAGTTTACAAGTTACATGTCAAACTCTGGAGAACAAATACCCTGTGTTACACAAATAATCATATTTGTAAAAGAAAACATGAAATTACCAGCAGACTGATCACTGAACCTACCTCACATGTAATACTATTAATAAAACTCTTCTGGAAAGAATTTCTGTACATATGTTATACCTGTACATGTACAAAGAGATGCAAAACAAATCAAATTATTTACACACAAAATTATATTTCAGTTTTATGTAAAACTGCTGGTCAAATCACATATATATCTATAATTTAGCTACAAATTAACACAAATTACTTTGTTTAATGTTTCATTTCTGTGTGGATTTATCACAACCACATTAACAATTAATGTTAACATGTAAATATATATCACTCTACATTGATAAGAGAAATAATGCAAAATATTACTTGTCTCTCTATTATTTATCTGTCCAAATTGAGGCCAATATTTATGGCAGTGTTGAAAACACAGCGAAGTTGAACAGTGATCTGATCATTACTTGAAACAGTAGGCAACTGTGGACAAATCAAACTTCATCAGATATATCTAAGTGCAATACAATAGGCCACAGAGCAGAAGCCAGTGGAGCTGTGCTTAGCTTTGAGTACACACAGACCAACATCAGTCTCACCAGTCAAAAAGATCTTTATTCTAAGATTTTTTCTCATTTAAAAATACAATAAACTCCCCACTATCCAGCATGTATTGGGACTGGAGTCAGCCAGTTACAAGAATCTACCAGTTGCATAAAAAAAAACTCCTACAGAAACTCAGCACAAATTAAAAGCATGTTCTCACTTTAATTGTTGCATGGAAGTCTTCCAAGGTGATACAGCAGTTTAATGGGTGGAGCATTTCAGATACATATACTATGAGATCACAAATTCAAGTAGGCATTAGCCTCTTCTGTAATGGCACCTATGTGAGGGATGATGTTGGGTAGTGCTGCTGTGGCAGTTGGAGAACTACCATGTGGTTAGTGAACATATGCACATCACAAACTTGTTTTTGATTGGCGATAAAAAAATTATTTTGTTTTTAACATTTTCTGGTTAGACGAGAATTCCAGATCCTCAGATACTGGATAACAAGGAGTTTAGTGAATACCATAAAGGCCTGAAGTACCTACTGAAGATTGCCATTGACTTTAACTGCTGTCTTCAAAGAAGAACATCTGCTTTCATACATTACGAACAAATTGTACACACTACTACCACCAATAAGGCAACAAAAGTTAAGTAGACCACTCACCCATACTTATTAGCCACGCAACATTCATTAAGGAGTTAAAACCCTTTATTTTTGAGCATACGGAATTAAGAAAAAAAAAAAGAAATTGAAATTAGTAATTCAATACTGCTGAGCTGGAAGTATGAAACGAATCACAATTATTATTTTTGCAGTTCTGGGCTAGTATTCCAAACAGAACACAGTGTGTCGGTGACTTAGGTTGTCCAGGGATTGAGATCAGTTTTAACAGACTCTAATGAGTAGGCGCCTCCTCACCTATTCACTGAAGGATGGAGAAATACCCATCCTAAAATGTTGTTCTGTTTGGAGTTCTAGATGACTGACAAAGCCCAGAAACTCAGTAATCCTTAGTATACTGCATCATCAGAATTTAGGTCACAGTTATGCCATTACATTTTCTGAAGTGTGTCTACTAAATGAACTGATGAACACAAAATTGATAAAAATACTGAATGAAACTAACGCAAATTCTGAGCCACAGAAACCAAGATCTGTGAAATTAAACCACATGGCCTTCAAGAAGAATCATATTTAGAAGTGCCATGCTATGTGCATTAAATGTGTTTAAATCTGTGGTATTTGGAACACAACTTTCCCAACAGATCGGAACTGAAAGTCAGAAAAATTTGGTCAATTTTAATTTTTTGAGACTAGACTGCTGAAAATCAAGATGCAATGGTGAAACTGTGTAGACTGATTCCTCAACTTACAATTAGGTGTTTCTACTTGTGAAATGTCAAGGTTTTCATGCTAGTGGTCTTCTGGATTATGACACCATGTAATCTGGTAGGAGGGTATCAACATTTCAGAGAATACATACTTCCATCTTACCCTGAAAATTGAGGTAATATATATTTGGCACCCACCTAGCAGGTTATATGGCATCATAACCCAGAAGACCAAAATATGTTTCATACTTTCAGTAAGACAAGATCAGCTGTTACTATTTGAACTACATTTAAAGATTCTGGGATAATATGAATACATCTCTGTGTTGATGTGATTTACCCAAGAACAATATGTTCACACTCACCCATTTTTCCATGAACATTAATGGCCAATACCTTAATTTTTCAAATGACACACAAAAGTGACTCTTGTATATTTCCTTATTGATAAACATAATATTTAATCATATTTTTCTGGTGTCTGTAGACCAACAACCTTATAGTAATTCTAACATTACTATATATTCAGGAAAAAAGATAGCTTGTGAAAAATGGAATGCAATATATATTGATGACATGCCTCTCATTTATATACATTCATTCTCCTTATGAAATCTGAATTACAATATAGTTTATGCTACAGGATTTATACCAAAGGGGGCTCTTTTTCCTCTAAAAACACAGTCATATGACACTGCATCATGGTGTCTCCAATTTCAGATATCCAAACGTTATAAACACACTGAAATTTCTACCAACTTCAAATCTGATTTGTGGCCGACATAAAAGAGAACAGTTATAAATTTTCCTGTAGTCCTGCTTCAACCTACAGCCTAACCACACCCTGGCCCATGAATTATATTGTAATGGAATTGTTCAATGCACTGCCAGGCAACAGCACTGTAAACACAGTCCAACACACAACAAAAGAGGAAGCTGTGTTTTCTGTAAAACCAACCAATGTGCCAATAGAATGCCTGGATAGCAATCACGTGTTATGTGTTTATTGTAGGTCCAGGTCTGTTCCGTGGCTATACAAGAAAGAATGACAGAATGTGTTGAGGGCAGTTATGAGTTAGTCATGAGCTGGAAGAGCCCATAACAATGTTTAGTTCTGAGGTTCAAGAGTGACTGAAGATGAAATAGCAAGAAGACTTCATAGTGATTTGAGATGCTAATTTCTTTCTTGAGATCTGTAGCTAGGAGAAAACTAGTGGAAACAGAATCCTAGTGCGTGTGCAATGGTGGACTGGAAAGTGTGTAAATAGCAATAGTCCTATAATTACATCTAATTACTGGTGGTGTGTATCAGGAGTAAATAAACCCATTCATCCAATCCAGAACCCGCATTATTAGTCACTGACAGACACTATCTATAGCTGGCCTGGCAATCCTTAGGATGGTTTCAAAGTATTACTCTCCATGCCATAACAAAACAAATCTTATCTGTTGCATGTCTGTATAGTGAGGGTTGTCTGGTGTTGAAGGCTTCCAGCATCCCCTAATAATACATCGCAGCTTCAAAATGCTCACCAATAAAAATTCCAAAATCACACTCTTACACTTTATTTGTCCTCCCTTTTTATTCCTCATATGGAACATGTACATCATTATATCTCGGAGGGTCTAAATGGCCAATAATTTCTGGAATTACCTCAAGCCTAGTAAATTATTTCTCCAAAACAAGCAGTTAACACAAATGAGGTAATCTCCTGGCCTTTTCAACTTATTTCTGCACAAGGGCATGTTGGAAGTCCTTCTGAGTCATTTTCATACCAGTTACAAAACTCTTGAAATACTTGCAGTTCTCTTCATTCATCCATTCCTTCTTTATTGTTCCATACAACTGTGCAAAGACCTTCAAAAACAATTCTTCTTACATCATTTGCTTTTCACATGGTCTCAGACTAACTATTTCTCCTCAAGATTTTTATATTTCAAAAATATAGGTGTAATGGTTTATTACTTATGGTGGTGTGATCAACTTATCGGTGGGTATACAACAAAATACTGAAAAAATGCATCCATCAACTTCATTGTGACTGTGTCTGTCTCAGCATATAATAGTAACAAAGCACTTACATGAAGACCCATGTGTCTCTGCATACATCTTATATGTAAATCACTAGATATTTATCAGAGCCAAAAATGTTTTGAATAAATGTTGTAGAGAGGAATAAAGCCCTGTGTAAAATCTCATGCTATATAAGATCATCTGCCACAGTGTGTAAGCAGCCTGCTTTGGGCAGCAAATCGGTCATATTTGGCATGAAGACTATACACCAAAGACTTATGACAAAAGTGGCATAAGTATATCCATGAGAAAATATTGGTTAGGCTATTTTCCCCTTTTGGATAATAACTTGTGAACTATAAACAGTCAGTCCAGTGTTATCAAAATCTTAGAAGGAAGCTATTAACTCTCTATCACAAAGAAATTACTGTTCATTCACCTAGCTATTATATCAAATGTACATGATCAGAGTCACAGATTGACATGTTGCAAAGGATATAGTTTTATTATGGGGCCACAGATCAAAGCACTATGGTACAGCTGTCGTTTATTACAGTGCCTGTAAGTCTACTAACTCCCCATATTTCAAAGCATAAATGACAAGATGTATGAATATACACAAAACACTTCTAAAGGACTGCTCACTAACTTCATACATGAAGACTGCTAATTTTGAAAATCTGTACACAGCTACATGGATTCATTCTCAATAACCTAATTTTTTATTTGCCTTTAAAATATGTAGTAAATACAATTTACTTTCCAACACTTAGCACACGAGAAGTTTAAAAATTGTGTTTTAATTCAGGCCAAGTGTATAAACAGGAAACTTAAAAATTGGTTTGTAAGGGGTTAGTTTGTTGGTTGTAAATGTTTGATTTGTTGGAAATTATCAGAAAAACTGCCTTACCCATGGGTTAATGGACCTTTACAACATGGGTATACAAGACATGCATTCCTCACAGAACACAAGAATAAAGTAAGTGCATTGTAACTGACAATCTAATCCTTCAATAGGAAGACTGGATGTAACAGAAAGAGTTAATTATTTTTTCAAGCTCCCTGCACATCACTGAATCAGATACTCCTCCTGTAAAGTCAGGCCCTTGGTCATTTGGAAGCAGAACTGACAAACCTACAACTAAACACAATGCAAATAAAAGTTACCCATGCTACAGCAGACACTGGAATTGCTATGTCCCATGCACATTTCTGGTACCTACATAAAAAGTTGACATTCGAACATTTAAATTGTTCATGGAAAACAGGCTGAACTTCCTTTGGATATTTTCTGTGAGTTCTTTAATTGTGTGAGGGTTTAATGTGAAAACTTTTTACTTTACAGCTCCCTGTAAGCTTGAGGTCAGGAGAGTACGCTGGCCAGAAACCACTAGTAATAATTTTGCCTCCATGCATAACACTCAGTGTTTATGGGTGCCCTCTGCAGTTTGTTTCAGTTTCTTGTCCAGCAAGATCCTGTGCCTCTGAATTTATTTACAGTTCTTTAAATGATTCTTCTAAAGGGAAATGTACCATCCTGAAATTTATGCCAGAATATTCTAGTTTTTTCTGCAGAACCACTTTTCACAAAGCTATCATACAAGAACACTCATTGCTTCAATGTGCATTACTTGGCATTTTAAATGAGTAAATGCTTCTCACGGGTCAAGTATAATACAGAAGCAGGCATTCAAGCATTTTGAGGTTTGAGATATATGAATGGGCAGATGTCCAAAAATTTGAAAGGCATTCAAAACAATTCTCTATACAATGACATCTAAACAAAATTACGTACTTCTTAAATATGGTATAACCATGAATTAACATTAAAGTACAATAACTGTAATGTTACACACAGTTAATAACACAGAATTTTACCTTCTGGCTAACGTAACACTACCGAAATTGTTAAATTATAATCTTCATCAGGTATTATATCTTCTTTCCATTTTTGCATACTACACTACTATACTGGCAGAGAAGTAACATGGTTTAACCATGAATACATTAAGTAGTAAGGTTTGCATATCATTACCTAAAATAATTAGTTTTGCACATGCTGCACATTGAACTTATTACCTCACTTTATTTAAATATGCAATCATGTTGAGCTATTTTTCTGCATAATGCACCATAAACATGTAGAGCCTACAAAGAGACTTATCTTCTGGGATGCAACACTATGTAGTCTGGTAGTTCACCACTGCTTCAGAGGGCTACACTGCCTCCATCTTCAGGATCACAGAGTGAACCAGCAATGAGCAAAATGCTAGTAGATAGCTGAGTGAGGGATGCACCCTTCTCAAGGCACACAAATGCCAGATTTTTCTGTTACAGCCGCCTACAACTCCTGTTGCTCTGCAGTTCAACTTATACCTCCTACTTGTTACTCTTGTCATTTTTCTCATGCTTTCTCCCACTTCTCCATTTTTGTAAATATGGCTGCTTTTAAGGACAACATACTTTAGTCCTCTCCTTGCTCCTACTGGTTATCTCTGGGCTCCTACCCAGGCCAACATCCAAACATATTTTGCAACTGCATCTTATTAATCTTGCTATTTCTTTTTTGGCCACCGGTTGCTTGGTTCACAATTCAGCCATGAAGATGGTAGCAGTACATTCCTCAGAAACATCAGTGAATGCCTACCAGAATATATGGTGTCACATCCCAGATGATAGTCCCCTTCACAGTAACCACTGTGAGAACCGCAAATCCAACATATATAACATCTGTTCTATACAAAATGACCTTATTCATCTACATGGACTAGGGCACTGGAAAGCTGAATTTAATATTATAAAAATTACATTAGATTACACTAACATGTGGTATGACCACGCTTTTTCCAAACTAAGTTATTTAAGATACACAGTATCCTAATTCAGAAGACAAAGAAGTTACAGAATAATTTTAACATATATAACACTTAGGTTTAACCCATCACATGGGAAGGAATGTCTGACATATAATCTAGGAATCATCATAGATTTAAAAATTGTATTGTCCAATTATATTAAAACAATGATTTAAATTGTGTACATATTTCACCCATTAATATCAAAATAATGTTGCTGGAGTGTGACAGAGACAACAAGTCTGCTTGTTACAAGCAATGCTCCTTTGTATGTCCAGTTTCAGTCTCGATTCTGCAGTACTAGCATCAAGATGAGAATGAAAGCACAAAAACAGTACTGCCAGAAGGAGAAGATATTTTCTTCCCTTTCCAACAGGCCAAACTGTTAGGTCACTTTATCCCAAGCACACTGCAGACCGGTACATCCTTTTAATAAAATATCCCAGTTCCCACACATTTATAGACATTTAACTCATCAGCACATGGAGCAACTTCACTTATATTTTGAAGGTGCAAATGGTGCTTTGGAAGTAAACTATATGATTAATGCATGTAGGGAGTTTAGTAGTGGTTCATGGAATTGAATCTCTCAAAGCAAGAACCAGTATGCAGTAGAACAGGGCAGAAACTGAAAATATAGTGTCTTGTTATACTCGTGTGCAGCACAAATCCTACACTTGCTGGCTGGCTGGAAACCTCTTTCATTGACCAGATATAATCTTCCCCATGGACAGTACCTAAATGAGGTGGCTATGTCAGTGTCTTGTTTCTTTGTCAGTGCTTTCATTACCAGATACATCTGAAAAAAATCTCCATAAAGTTCTGACAAAAGGTCATCATCAGAAATAACTCTGCTATTCAAATCCATATTTGATAATTCAAAATATCATACAGAAATACATGGAACACAGCAGAATGAACGCATGATTTTGCACTCTTACTGCATCTAAGGGCATGGATTAGTAGTGATCTGTATCTGGTGGAAAGCAGAGCAATAAAATTTGACTGTCAGCAACTTCAGACACCACAATGATCCTATATTTCAATCAGTATTTACAACAGACTGCATGGTGGTTCAAGGGAAATGAGCAGACTAAATGGTAGAACTGTTCTGGGTAGTCATGGAAGGTCAGAGGTTACATGTGGTCAATGTGTATTGTTAGAACTAAACATTCCTCTTCAAGCTGTAAATAACCTTGTGTCAATTTGTCAGCCAGCAACACCCACAAGGCAAAGAATAACACAGTAATGCTGATAAAAATGAAGAACTACATGGTACATACACAGTGCATGGGATTTAAATCACAGTTTTTTGACAGACCCGTCCACAGTGTGTTTCATAACATAATTTGGGGGAATATATATAATACTTGTAATGTCCAGAATGTAATTCAATGGATTATGCACCAGACTGTTAGTTTCTTTGCTCTGAGATATCCAAACGGTTCATCCACTGCACAATGTTGGGCTGTGTTATCCCTGCTTAGTCTGCACAAGTCAGCTGGACTTTCTGGCTCCAAGGTAAGCCTTGCGACAGTTGCACAGCCACTTGATGATGCGTGCATTTCGTTCAACAATGGAGAGTTGTTCTGCAGGCCTCTGTAGGTTACCTGATCCCACACTGCCAGGTCCAGTTGCCCCAGCACACCCCCATGGACTTGTCCCTGATTCCACTGAACTCACACTCTCAAAAAACACAGGTGATGATGATCCAGATGCAGGCGCTGATAAGGACCTATACATACATATGTTCACACATATATGTACATATATGCATACACATTTTGTCAAATGTATTGCTATTACTCATTTGGATTTTCTGGTAGAGATAGTAAATCAAAAACGTTAAGCACCAATATGCCCTAGTAACAGATACCAATTCTGTGCAGAAAATGTATGTTCAATGAACCTTATAATCCTTATTCTCTACAAATGCCCTATGCACAGAGAAAAAATGACATGGTCAGATTTGTTTCTGTAAGTTCCAGAACTTCTTTCTACATTTTAACCTTCTGATTTATAGATTACTAGACACTCACTCAGACCAACGAGTGAAGTCTTTTCACATTCCAACCCCTGTCTAGGAGAAGGCTCACATTCCAGAATCTGAATATTCCTGCTAAGTCCTAACCATGGAGAAATGTACAACATGTAACATCCTCCAATATCCTCATCAGTCAATTAATTTGTTTCATTGTGTAGTATGTCATGTATAGTATCTTCCCCTCCTTGTCACACAGGTTTCCCCTTCCCCTGTTCTTCCACTGACACTGGAGGATAATATCAGAAAACACAACTACACACACATCTACTGTGTTTCAATGAGTGACAACTACAATTTTTTTTAAAAAACCTAATTATGGGAACAATATGGAACACACTTGAATGCAAAATCTTGATCTAATACACCTGTGTAAAGATGGCAGCTCATCAAATAGTGAAATAGGAAGGCCATGTGGATGAACTTTCTAACAGTTTACAATAGTGAAGAAGAAAAACACAACATATGAGAGCTATTTGGAAAGTAACCTCTGGTGAGCTGTTAACAAAACAAACAATGAAAAAAAATTATACACAAAAAACATGTACATGCTTCAGCTAGTTATCAATGCAGTCATCACCAGAACTAAGGCACTAGTATTGGGGAATAAGTTTTTGTATGCCTGTGTCAAAGAAGTTTGCTGCCTGTGAGCTTCCTTCCATCAACTCCTCATGACTGTTCAAGCACTGTGATCTCACCCAGTTCTTCAGGTAAGTAAACAGGTGGCAGTCATGTACTGTCATGGAAGAGCACTACAAGCACACTGTATGTCAGCATTCCATGCCCGTTGTTCTGAATGAATCTATGCAGATTTTTAGTGTTTCACAATACACTTGTTACATTACTGTGGTCCCCTCCTGCACGAACTCCACCAACAGCACTCCTTTCTTGTCCCAAGAAACAGCTGACAGCAAACGTTTTTTTAAACTTGTTCAGCTTGTTTGGTGAATATGGGCACATCCACTGCTTTGACTCCTTTTGGTTTCACCATTCACAAATGAAACCCAGGTTTCATCACCTGTTACTCATATGTTGTGCCTGAGAAATTCAATACCATTTTTGTGGTATTGCTCTCAAGAAGTCAAAGCGATTCTCTGCATTTTGTGTGTACCTGTGAGCAGTTTTTGAACCTATCTTGCACAAATCTTGTGATTACCTAGCATAACTGTGATACTCTCATGCAGAGCACTGCATGAGATTTGAAAAAATTCATGCAAAAGTTCTGAAAATGAAATTTTTGGTCAACACTTTGACTACAGATGGCCGATCACTTCATTCTTCATCATGAACATTTGTTCACATATCTCTGAACATTTCACACCATTGGCTTAGAGTTCCTTTGCTCAATATATTTTGGTCGTAAACCACACATAATTCACAATGGATTTCCTGGATTTCCGCAGCATTCAAATTTCAGCATGAAGAAAGAAGATAACAGTGTGAATTTTGAAGCTGGCACGATTATCAATCACAGGACACATCATAACTCATTCTGCAGAGACATGAACAAACACTAGGTGACTAGTTATGCGAGTCATATGATGCTACTTCACATGTGCAAGCTCTCTCCCACTCCTACATTACTTACCTAAAATAAACAGAGGTTACTTTCCAAATTGCCCTCACATACAGTTGCCACCATTAATCTAAAACCTTGACCTTCATTGACCTTTAAATTGCCTAACAACATTGCATCAGTCCAAAACAAGGAACACAGCTGTCAACTCTCAAGTCAAGTAGTGCAAAACCAATTTTCAATCCCCTTTCACCCTTTTTCCTACAGTTACTGAGTCATGGCCAAACTCACAGATTGTTGGCGATAACTATACTAAACAAAAGTGACCAAAAAGCTTATTTCCCCATTACATAAAGTCACAACATGTCACTGTGAAAAGTAGCAATGTCATGACATCTAGATTAATATATTGCAAATTTATTGTCAGAGAATAAATAAATAAATAAATAAAAAAAGTTCAATTTCTGGTAACATCTGTCATGACTGTACTTCACATTATCATGACTACAAATGTCACAATTTCAAATGTTTTGTGAAAACAAGTCTCGACATTGTTCTTTCTTTGTGAGTACATTTTGGTGAAATTTGTTTCACGATCTTGGTTTGTGGCAATGTGACAAACATAATGAAATGAGACTTGTAGAAATGGCATACAGGTGTGGGAACTGCAATTATAGTTACTTCCATTAAAGTGTGGTAACTTAAATGTTACTTAAACTTAATTTGATTGGTGTAAGAAAATTAAACATGGGTCAATGTGCAGCTTACATGCCATTACCATAACATGCGTTTTAGTTAACGTTGGGTATAATGGCTGTTTCACAACAATTTCTTGCACACAGAATGTCAAGAATTTGTGTGCATTCTAATCATGGCATTCAGAACAATCAAAACTAATGAATGTACTCCAAGTATTAGTGAGATTGAAACTGCTTTGTATTGATCTGTTACTCCAGTTCAACATGAATCAATGCATTTATTCTCACATGTATGCACATGCAGTAAATTGTGGGCAGAATGTGTGGGGGGGACTTGAGAGTATGCAACACATAGTAGTAGGTACTCTCACTCAAGCAAGAGAGCACCTACAAGTATTATGTTTTTGGGCATTATCCACTGTCTTGTCTATTTTTAAACAACCATCCTGTTTTCTTTTCAAAACACAACGTTTTGGAGACCAGATTCTCTCCCTGTCCTCAGGTAAAACCTACTCAGTTGGGTCGAATAGATAGAGCTAGCCCCTATCTCCCGAGACTGGATTAAGTTCCCATCCTCAGGTAAAACCTACTCAGTTGGATCCAATCTATCTACTGGACCCAACTGGGGACAGAATCCAGTCTCCGAAACGTTGTGTTTTAAAAACGAAACAGGACGTTTTTTTTTTAAAAATAGACAAGACAAAAGATAATGTCCAAAAACATAATACTTGTAGCAATGTACCATCATCACAAACTTTTAGATCTTGAAAACAGCACCTAATTAACAGCTGGTTTTGAGTAGATGATGTTATGTAAGCTGAAGAAAATCTTTAGTTCTTTGCTTCAGATAATGCTAATGCTCATGAGAATGCTAAAGTATTCTTTGTAATTTTTATATCCCTGTGATAACCATCCAAAGAAGAAGAAATACTGCTACAACCACATTATGATACAAAATCTTGGTTCCATATTGTATTATACAGAATTAAAATGTTGGGGATGGACTTGTAGTTATGTATATCAGTCATTTTCAAGTACTAAAAGTATGTGTTAGAATGAACATTTTTTCCAAATATTATAAATTCTCATAATATCAAGCTTGAAATGTATATGCATGCTCATCAAAGAGTTAAATTCTTGCAACAGTGGTGAGATTGTGAGGTTATGTATAATGTGTGGGATACATGTCCATCACACAAGACTTGCTGCCCATATGGTATATAAAGAGAATGAAGAGAAAACTGAAAACCACAGAAGATGGTATTAAGAAATATTCTGAGCTCTTCTGGTCAAGATAATTTAATATCCTAACTTCAATGATATATTTTTACAAACCTGAAATCACCAGTGTCAAGTCCCAACTGCTCAAAGAACTTATCCAGCTGAGCACCAGAGGGAGGTTGGGGAGGAAGAGATGGCCTTGGAGCTACTGAGTACCGATGACTAATATCTGACTTTGATCTCAAGATTGGTCGGCGTCTCTCACTTTTCTGGACTGTATCACATGTGGTCAGCCTAAAAGTCAAGCATGCATAACAAGTCTAACAGTTATGAACAGCACAATTTGCCATGAAACTGACTGTATGCGTAGACCATGGACATGCAACGGAGTTTATCAATATTCAGGACTTATATGTTCCCTGAGAATTTGAGAGACAATTTTTCACTAGGTGCTCCCATTTTCTCAATTATTCATTCCCCATTCTCTGGCGTTCACTCACAATGATCAGTATCATTAACCCTCACCATGTGAATTTCAGTCTTCTGCTGCTAGGGTTCTTGAAGCCAGATTTAGATTATATATGTGACGTGGGGCTTGCTGGGCCCAGCTGAACTGGTGCATGTTCAAACACAATTGTGGTACACATGGATTATAATGGTTAAGTGTAGTCTAACCAGCTCATATTAACAAACTGACTAATTCCTTGCAATTTGGATTTCTGTGAGCAGCAGTTAGTTATGGAGTTCATCAAGAATGTTCTGAACATCTTAAAAGTTACCAGTGTCATCAGAAAAACTTGACTGAAACCAAGTTCACATCTCCACAACCTACTTGTCTAAGATCCATTTATATATTTTCCTTCTAATTATAGCTACATCTCCAAAGGTGTTTCCTCATATGTGGTGTCCCCATATTTTCATATATGTATATTTCTTCCTTCCCTTTTGCATGCCACACCTTGGTTCCATAACACCAACAATACTAAGTGCAGAGTTGCACAATCTTCCCAATTTCTCCATTATTTCACCTCTTACTTCATGTCTGAACATACTGTGATGATGACCTTACAGAAAAATACCTATACAGAGGTGTTACAGTTGGTTCTTCCGCACAGCTGTCACTGTAACTACTAGCACTGTTGTGCCTAGTAGTAGAGCACTCATCCATCCCACTGTCCAATCCAGTGCCAGGGCTCCTGTCTGTGTCTGGACTAACTTCTTCACTCTCTCCTGACGGTAACCTCGTGAAGCAATGTGGTGTTGTTGCTGAAAATATATTATACCAGAATAACATTAAAGTTTCAGAAACATTCACACTTGAAGTTGCACTTCAAAGTTCTGAAGGGGTAGGATCTTGAAGATATTCATACTACTCATACCATAAGTAGATGTATTTGTAATGTGTCGCCACACGTTACTTAGTTTTAATTTGATTATGGAACATTTCAATAACCAATGATGATATCCTTTGATGAACTAACTAAGTCCACATAGCTGAGTCCTCGTTGAGAAGCCACTATCCTTAGATGATTACATTAATTTGAAAATGTAGGTTTAATACCTACAATTTCAAATATTTTTGATGATGTCAACGATCTTTGATGAAACATTCTGAGTTATCAGACATCTTACAGAAAGCTTATTTGATAATTTTATTTATATACAAAATAGACAGGGTGCTCATCAGTTATGATCCTCATATAAGAATATTTTCCCAAGCTTTATGCTGCTGATTTACATTTTCCCAAATAGAAAATACCTTAATAGAAGTTGCACACTTTTTAGAGAACTACTGTCAAACAGAACTTCAGGTTCATACACAGAACAGATGCTAGTGCTGCTCCTATCTCACAAGTTGGTATGACTGCTATTACTGGTATCGTTCATACAAGAAAGTAAAAAAGTAGTAAGATGTCAAAGTCACTACTGGTACAGTGGTCAAACATTTTCATTAAAATCAACAATTAGTGTTCAGTGTTGATGCTCATAGTTCAATGAGGAGAAGGCTAAACACGTGCAGCTCACGAAACTAGTCACAGAGACGCTGTGGTGGTAATCTACTGACACATACATTTCAAGTGTCCAGTTATAACATTTATCCATTATCATTACACCAAAATATGATCACCATGTTGTATTTTTCATTCTTCTGAAATGAAAGCTTAATGAAAGTTGCAATTTTCTTTTAGATTTTCTGAAAAAATATTTCTAAAAATGTATCCTCACACAAAACCTCCAAGTTTGTACAGTGTACTCCAGCAGCAGCACTCCCCCCCCCCTCCAAGTTACCACAGATGCCATACTGGTATTACTGGTAACAGGAAATTATGGCATGCCAAGATGGGAAGGTCTCTTTCAATGACATGATGATACTGAGTGTCACAACAATTTGCCAGTTTTCATCACCACCATCTTCATCAGCGCTGTTGATGTCATAGGCATCTCGTTTCTCATCTTCTGTCTCATTGTCTTACAAGCTGATGACATTAGTCACATTCAAATTATTTTGCAAAGTCGTCTTCCTGCAGTTTTATAGCGCAATGTACACAAGCAGCCCCATCCTGCTGTGTCACCTTGTCAAGACTTTAGTTGACCAGCCTTTCCATGTTTGAAACAATGAATGTTCTGTTCTTTTCTGTGACTTCTGTTTCACATGAGCTCACACAAAATCGATATGGTTATACTGACAGTGATATGCAGGAGCCATGTGACTTGTTGCCTCATTTTCTTAGCCTGTCATTCCACTTCATTCTGTTTTGTGTTCTTCTTGAAAGGGCGCACTCAATGCCAAAGTTCAGATTTTTGGGGGCATGGAAAGAAATACATTCCCTTCTGTTGCAGCCACTTGTTGACATCTTGGTTTCCATTGGAGTCATTAGGCATTTTGTTTATTGTAACTGAATGGCAGTTTGCATTCCCTGCAATTTATACTGCCCTCCTTTAACTAATTAACAAATAAGCTTAAAAACCAATAGCTAAATGTATGAATGGTCATTTCTTCATGATAATCTACAAGAAGATTTTGAATAAAACACCCACTCGCTCTCAGGTATAAAACCTGTATTAGCTTATCCTGTGTGACAAATGATAATATGGCTTCCCTTCCCTACAGGAACCTCGAGTACTCCATCCCTAGTGGAATTCTGCCAAATAAATTTAAACGTGTGATTAAAATTTAGCCAAGTTTCAGCTAGGTAAAACACCGGTCACCTGTCACCAAATTCCCAAGGGTGGTGATCTGTTCGCAAAAACTTCAACCTTGCCACATCACTTGAATTTATGTCCATCGCAAATTATTTTTGTCTGTGAGCCAAGATGCTTCTGTAGTCTTACAGTGGGGGGAACTGAATCTTTATAAGTTATTTTTCCCAAAGAGCCCATGTTACTTTCTTGGCAGTAAAAAAAATCGCCTTTCTCACAGCAATTCTGTGTAAAACACCATTTGGAAGTTTATAAGGTTCCTTGATCTTTTGGAATATTAACACACTTCCTGGGTGATAGAAACAAATTCTCAGTACCCTTCTCTTTCCCTCAAATTTGTCTCCCTGAATGCAGGCAAAACAGTCAGACTACGCAACAATAAGCTCAGATAGCCAACTGTGGTGTCAACATCTGCTTTATTTTGCTGTTGATATCTTTGCTACATGTTTCAACCCTTACCTGGATCAACCTCAGGCATACATGAGTACTTGGTGTTGGATTTCTGAGTTGCATCATTTATTCAATATGAATTCATGCCGTGTCTCTACTGTTAACACTATCCTAATAATACACTCTGATCTTTAAAAGAGTTAAAACTTGACATAAAAATAATATTGAACAGGTAACAAAATGAATTAAAAGATGTAAAATGAAAACTACATTTGAAATTCGTAGTTAATAGGACTAATAATAGTCAATATTGTAAGTTTTTGTAACCGCTACATATCTTAACGTTCTATGATGTTTTAACGTTATAGTATTATTATTGTAATGTGGGGAACTGCGTGTTGAGATCTTTCTGTAGCTTTCTACATCATGTTGCTTCTTTAGAAAGATTCATATTAAACACGTGAGGCAGGGCTTGTTGTTCTGCATTTCCTTCTCGTGTTGTATGTATATGGCTGAGATGTTCTGGTAGTTACTAAAGGATTCTGATGATGGTGTATAACACACAGAGATACTGGGTTTTCGGACTTTATCCATCGTCCTGGTTTTTAAGGTAACTAAGAAAAACACGATGTTTCGGAAACTGGATCTGTTTCCATCGTCAGGTGAGGACGGAAACTGGATTGAGGCTAGCTCTTTCTAAGGGACCCAACAGAATAGGTGTTTTCCCTCACCTGAGGATGGAAACAGATCCAGTTTCCGAAACCTCGTGTTTTTCTTAGTTATCTTAAAAACCAGGACGATGGATAAAGTCCAGAAACCCAATATCTCTGTGTGAGATGTTCTGGTTTTTAGTGTATAGCTGCAGTTCCTGTCATGTAGCAGTTCTAGAACTGCTGCAGCCTTATTACTCTGTCCAGAGTTCTTTAAATAAGGAGCATACCAAATGACTGAAATGGACTGGAACTCAAGTTGTGCTGACTATGCTGTGATGTGGTACTCATGGCAGCCCCTGGTGCTGACCCAACTGACCGCCTACAATGTTCACTGGTGTGACTACTTCCATTACTGCTGCTACTGCTTGCACTACTGCTGCTCTTGCTACTGCTGTGAAACAGAAATTGTGGAAAATTGTTGGTTCCAAAATATCTTATATACATGTATAATACCTACTTATTGAAGAAGCCATACAGCTGTCTATCTTCTTAGGGGCAAACATTTCCACCTTGGGAGATTACCAGTACGCAACAGCCTACTGTGATGTGGGGGCTGCCACCTTAACGTTGTCAGAATTTTGTTGGAGCTATTCATTTGGCCCATTACGTTCAATCTGTCTGACATGGTTGGGCCTACCAGTAGCTATGCTACAGCTGGCATAAGCTTCACCCTCTTAGTGGACATATGTACCCTCCCCTTCATAGCAAGTGTCACATAACTTCAAACAAGGCCAAGAGCACCGAGAGTAACCTTGAATGCGCAGAAGAAAAATTTCACGCCAGGGGGGGGGGGTTTGCAGGAATGAGGGGGATGCGTGGCCTTGTTCGAAGTTAAGTGACACTGTCTCTACCACTTCATGTGCTGCTTTCAAAAGATGTTGAAAAGAGAATTTTGAAGACAGTGAAAGCATAAAGTTACTTAATCCATAAGACAAAAAGATGAACAAGATGAAAAGTAATAATTTTTATTCTTGGACGTATGTTATTGTTCATACAGCACAAATATTTTTGAAATGGAACACAGCTCTGTCAAAGTAGATGGAAAATTGTGCTTGGAATACTGATCTCCTAATATGTTAGCTCTGTAGTGTCTTAACTGTGAGTAATAACTGGCACTATACATCTAACAGCTTGTATATATGCACATATAATACTCAGTGTGATCATCTTAGAACTTCCCTCAAAATGTTGAGCGGCTCAAGTTTGATGCCCCTGCCACCTAATAATTCACAGAAAAATGGACTGCTTTGCACACCTTCAAGGGCTATAGATCTTTCCACTGTTCTTCTTACTCCTGTTGTTGTGCCACTTTTTTTCACACATGTCTTATTCTTCTACCAGACTACATAACAACATACACCAGAAGAGAGTAAATTTCAAGTATCCTGTTTGTTCAACTCTAACAATGCTTCTGTTTTAAAACAAAGAAACAAACTCCAAGCATAATTCACAGTACCTTTCATTAGAAGAGGTGCCATTGGTCCTGGTAGGACTGGTATGCAGATCTGGCAGGGACTTGTGGTGCACTCTGCAGGTATTACTGGGGCTTGGCCCCTGAACTGTAGTCTGCACCTGGGAGATGCTACGTCCATATGGCCGTGGCCCAGCAAATGGCCGCTCATCCCCTGCCACCTGAAGAAGTAAACAATACCCATGATATGCATAACAGAACTGCAGTATAAAAATATCCTTCCATATAAGAATGTGTATTATACATATACAGAGTTTTTTTAACCTTGTTGATTGGTTCACAGCTCTGCACTTCATGACGACTGGTGCACTGCTGGCTGCAAGACGCATACAAATTTTGCCAGTGAATCAGCACGCCTGATGGCCGATAACGTTTGGAATGAAGGGAAGTAATTAACTTTTGGACAGCTTGATGGCTATGTTTCACAGTGAGCAGTGCCATCCATGCATGGGACTTTGTTTAGTATTTGTCAGCACTAGACAGCAGTTATCAGCTCCATTATCCATTTTTCCCAGTTACAGTTCATGAGCAGTGTGACATGTCATGGTGCGGTATACTTTGGAAAGCTTTAGAGCAATGTGTATTATTGTATGACACCTATGTGAATATAGATTTGCTAGAAAGTGTTGGCGAAAATGTTGATGTAAATTTCATGATGAAAGAGTTCCCAGAAGGCAAACAATTCACAACTTGGTGAATAAACTTAGGACAATGGGACTCTTAATAGACAAGAAACAAAAACTTAAGTGCTGAGTGCTTACTGTGGAGAAATTAGATGACATAGGGGCCCAACTTGAACACATACCTAGAAGATTACTGAAATGTCTAGGTCAAGAGACTGGAGTGTCAAAGTCTAGTGCAAGCATGGTAACACAACTGCTCTATAAGACAAGAGTAATCCATGCCTACAGCCATGTGATCCAGCTAGTAGGATTCCTTTTTTAATTTGGTTTCTACAGTCTGTTGTTGAAGGACAAAGTTTACAACCGTGACCCCCAAATAGGAGAACTAAAAGAAAATATTTGTAGGGAAATTGCGAATATTCCTGCAGAACAGCTTCATAGGGTAAATCAGAACCTCTTCTGCTGGTGCAAGGTATGTCTACATGTACAGGGACAGCATTTTCAACACCTCCTTGTGATTTCTGAACAAAGGTAAGATCTTCCAGGTATGCTGATTTATCAGAAAAATTCATATGCACCTCACAGCAAGCAAAGCAACAGCCACCGTGACACACAGGGCCATGGAACCAGTCAACAAAGCAACAATCCTCCCCGTACTTATTATTAAGCAATACAGTTAAGCAATTTCATATGGATGCTACAATTCATTCTGCTGATGATCGTGAATGTGATGCTGTCTCCCACAGTGAGCCAATTCACACAACATATCATACAGATTATTTTTTATATCACAATTATTTTTAGTCACAGAAAATAAAAGAACAACTCCACACTGAAACAAACAATAAAAGCACATACCAGGGCTGCAGTACACAGCAGCATACACAATATCCCCTCTGCTTTATTTCAGAACTTGACATATACCCTCTATTTTTCTCAGAAAATTGGCACATAACCCTCTCCTTTCAAACACTTACGTTACTTACACATTGTGATGTTTCTCTGGAACATAGCTGTGACATAAATTTAGAAGTAAATGTATTCCAATACTACCAGCACTTCAGACTGAAAATACCTTCATACATGTTTCTTTATAGCACTGGTGCATGAGTTCATGTACGAGCACGCGCACGTGTACGCACGCGCACACACACGCGCGCATGCAAAGGTAAAAAAAAGCACTTATAACAGAACCATGACAATCCCTGTATTTCTAACTTAATGATAAGAAGATCAAAAATACTCAATCAAACTGTGCAAGCTCTTTCATCTGGTGCACTCACAATAATACTAAGTTTGTCAGAATCCTTTGTCTTTTCTTTTATGCTTCATAAAAGAATAGTCTGGTCAAAAACATATAATACAATATAAGATTAATGTAGCAGATAATTAGCTGCCATATTCATCACTGTGTGTAAGATTATCATAACGGTATGCACTAAGTTCAGCAATCAGAACTTCCTGTTGTCCTAGTCCTGAATAGAAACATGGAAGTGCATTTCCAAATATTTTTTAAGTATTAGGGTGGAAACAACTTTAAAATTCATAATTTCAATACCAAGAAGTTCTGGGAAAACTAACTGCTTACTTTCTTTTGATGCAATATGGATCGGATAGAAAATGATGCCTCCAATAAGTCTTCTTTGCTGTGGGAATGTCTTAACTGAATAATTGTCTAGCAATGATAGGAGGGATACACATGCAGACACACAGATTGATGGAGGGGATATATGAAGTGGCCTCTGAGCTGGGCTCAGGTGTCATGATGTATATACAAAATTTCATAAAGACTGTTTTAGTCATTCAAATGTTAACACAGACAGTATGGAGATCATATAAACCTACTTTAGGAAAGTAGCCTAAAACATTGCTTGCAAATTGGTACTAGACTCAAGTCTATATAACTAGTGGGAATACCTTACAAAATTCCAGGGTACTGCAGCACACTACAAGTAACAGAGTACTCTATGGAGATGTGTAAGTCACCAGACACTTGGAAGAATATATTAAATTAATATTAAAGACAGCATTATTTATTGTAAACATGAAACTGAAGTAACAATCTCAATTAAAAAATGAAATATGCCAGTAATTTCTTACATTTCTGTCAAAATGTCCATTTTCAGCGTTTAGAGAGTACTGATATTTTTATTTGATACTATCCATAATAGTTATTGCAAAGCTCTGTGCCTTCATAAAGCTGTGGGACACTTTTGCAGTGTTATTCTGGAACTGATTCATGTTCACTGGCTTCTTTTTGTACTATCTATAACCGTATTTCACAGAATAAATTCATCAGTGTCAGATCCTGAAATCATACTGGCCAAGCAATGGAACCAATCACTATGCTGGGAAAAGTCCTGTTGAAAAAGAGTGCAGGTGCTCCATCTTGCATGAAGTTAAATCTTTGAAGCTGTTCACATGTACAGTAGAACTTGGTTATAATGTCATCAAAGGGACCTAAAAATAGTGTCGTTATAAACGAATGTCGTTGTAACCGAAATGGGCACTTCCACAGTAGCCTTATGTTAGTCACGTAAAAATCTACCAAAAACCGAGTTAAAATGTTGCATTTTTTAGTGAAATACGTAGTTAAGTACAGACTAACGTAACATTAACGTGGAATTGCCCAAATGTGTAATATCAAAGACATATTACAGCGCTTTTCACTGACAATACACACCGCACTAATACTGTATATTAAAGGTAGGCCTACTCACCAAATTACAGTAGATTACATCAATTGTTGTGCCTTACTGTACCTAGATACGAGTACAGTAATCAGTTATCTTCATCTGTTTCCTGTTACTTGCCCAATACACACTTTCTAAATTACGTTCAATGTCCATATCAGAGAAATTCAGGAATGAAAATGACGTTACATACGAGGTTGATGCATTTGTGCATGTCGTACTAAGCAAGGTATAAAAACAGTTGCTTTATGAGGAATTAGTTCGTACCATTGAATATTTGACGCAATAGACAAGGTGTCGCAGAAACCGATGTTGCTATAACCAAGTTTTACTGTAATTGCAAGACTGGTACCACATGCTCCTGCAGCATCTTTAAGTAGAACTCACAAGTTACTATTACTTAGAAGTAGATATCTAATGCTCAAAACAAGAGAGCAATGCCCCAGAGAAATATCTCAGGCTGGTTCAACATACTCTCAACATCCCAGTAACAAAGCTGTGTCTAGTCACATGAAGAGACATTTTGAAATCTGTCTTATCTGACTAGGTGAGTTTCATCACAATATCAGAATAAGACACTTGTTTAGGAAGAATCCAAAATTTTCAGCCTTCTCTCTGTGTCACCTTCAAAGAATCCATGCCCCAATCTTCAAATGCTCCGTCTAATTTGTATCAATGTAGTATACATTGTTGTGATGTTCAACAGAAGCCTTTTTCTTCTGCCACATTTCCAGTTGACTTCCATGGCTCTGGACTACACCTGATCGGTTCTCTTCTGTTGCCACATAAACAGACCTGAGTGCATCCACCACTGATCCCATTCATTCAAACTCGTCTTGAAACTCATAAACAGTTGCCCACCTGAGTGCCTGAGACTGACAACCTTATTGGCTGCCTAGAAAATGTAGGAGCCTTGACATCTCAAAACTTATGGGCCTCCACGGCCTGTTATAGGGATAGCTTTATATTTTTTATACAGAAGTATTTATCTCTGAGTAGGTCAATTAAGTTACCCCTTATTACCTCAGTATATTTATGCAATTATCTGAACTGACTAGGACAGGCTCAACTCATGCAAAAATTTCAAGTAATTTTTTCCTCAACTTATCGATTTTATCCAAGTCATTTTCTGTATACTTACTGTCTTTATATCCTGATCATCACTATCCCATAATCGTCTATACAAGTTCTCTTTAGAGTCAGCACTGAGAAGTCTGCGAAGTTTTGTCTGAAGCTGATCGCCACTTGGGTTTGAACCTGACCGCCTCTGTGCAGCTGGCACAAGGCGTGGGGATTTAGGAGGAAGAGGGGGTGGAGTATGTTGCTGAGAAGCTAGTTGCAAGGGGTTGGGACGTGGTGGTAATGTTGGTGGGGGGCTCAGAAGTAATACATGTTGATGAAGATCTGCAAACAGATGCAAACATAAACACAGATTGTAATGAAGGCTAGAAATACTTATAATGTAACATTAGATTTAACATTCCTATCTGGTCTAGAGGACACACTGCATACTTTGGAGAGTAATTACTTTTACTGTTACTTATACCATTTTATTTCCCTTTTCTTTGTGAAGCAGTTGCAGCTTTATGAGATCAGAGTACGTACACGTAAGGTGTCATGTCAAGTTTTCCATTGAATGATTCCAAGAGGTATATAAAGGTGAAGGTAAAGTCCCTGTGCTTAACTAATTAAGTACTTCAATATGAAGACATATGGAGTAGCGGATGTATACAGGCACGTTTTCTTGACCTCGGCAATAGCTAAAGGTGAATGGTCAGCTTCACGCCCTGGCTGCTTTACCTCCGGGGATAAAAGCTCCTGGTACAAATTTAATTGGAGGCTGGGTGGGCTTCTGAGCTGGTCTCGACAACGTGGAGAAGAGAAAATTCTTGACCATACTGAGACTCGAACTCTGATCCCTTGGTCATCCAGACCATAGCCAGTCGGTATGCTGGCTGCACAATCCAAACTCCTTTAAAGAAGTATTTATGGTATAAAAATAATTTTTAGACCAACTATTTAAATTCTTTAGTAAATGGTGGTTGTTTTTAAATTTTCTTAAACATTTCAGTATTCAGTATTGAGGGAGTGGGCTTCCCCATGCACTTAGACCAGTTATTGGTCCATTGTGCGTCCCCCTTTTAATTTCTACTGTCTCCATACCCTACTGGTACTGGTGCTTACTATCAGCCCCTTTCTGCCAGCGAGGTTCCAACCTTCTACTGGCAGTGGTATCTAATAGTTAGTCCCTTTCTGTCAGAGAGGTCCCCCCTCCTCTGGCACTGGTACCTAATACTTCTCCCATCTACCGGAGGTATTGGAAACTACTTTGGGCGGGAAACTTTTTGGCCAAATTTAGTTCAGAGGTCTCCTAGAGACATGAGGTTCTTTTATGTGCCGTAAATCTACGACATGGGACCCACGGCTTAAAGTCCCTCCCGCAGGACTTGTTCCCTGAATTTTTCCGCCCTTAAAAATTCCACGACCTCTGCTGGGTTTGAACCCGCGTACCTTGAGTCATGAGGTGGGAACGTTACCCCTAGACTACGGAGGCCGCTT